ACCCACACCATGAGAAGCAGAGCAGTGAGGAAGTTCCTTCCCCCAAATGCAGCCGCCCACAAAGGCTCTGCAGCTCTGCTCCCCGTGCCAAGCTCTCTCTCTCTCTCCCTCCAGCAGCAGCAGCAGCAATGCATTGCATTCCCGAGCTGCTGCCACCTCGGAGGCTGCTCTGGCTCCGGGAGGAGGCCAAGGGAGGAGAGGGATGACAGAAACCCCGCACTGATGCAACAGCACTGCAGTGCTGCAGCCTGGAAGGGAAGCCAGCCCGGCWCAGGGCTCAGGGCTCAGGGAGRGACCCAAACACAAACCCCACAGRAAAGGCACAAAACCCACAGGGATAYGGCACCAGAATCCCAAAGCCACACGGGGTAAGGTCCCTCAAGCAAAGCAAAAGGAGAACCAGTAAGGTCAAGGCTGTTAAGGTGACACGAACACAGCATCCAAATAAATATTAAAGATCTGGAATCTCTGAGAGGAATGACTTTCAGAATCCTTGGAAAGCACGATATAGGGGCCGAATTGTTCAAATTGAGCTGTTYCAGCACAAGGTCAGGTACCAGAGCCTGCCCAGCCCATGAGGATTGTGCTGGATTCACGTGGGAGGAGCTCAGGGAAGCCGGAGCCGCCACCGGAACGGGGAACCACAACTGTCCGGAGCACAGAGAATAAACACAGAATAAATAACCAAATCCTTGGTGAGAACACCTGCAGATCCCAGCCTCCAACACGGCATTTCCAAAGCTGCAATGTCCAGAGCAAAGCTTTCTGAGRCACCTCAGGTTATCCCTTGCAACTGCTGTGGCACAACCTTTGACGCCCTCCGAGCCACACGTAAATCCAAGGCTGCACCACACTCGTAGAGTTTAAATGCCATTTCCAGCTCAGGTTTTATTTGGAGAGCCAAAAAAACCTGGAGTACAGATCTCCCTCCTTATGTAATTCCAGAGCACAGCAGGGCTGGGATTCTCTTCCTGTAAACCTGACCGGGTATTTCTGGAGTAATAAAAGAAAAGACACAAAAAAGATGGCAAGAAGGGGAAAGAAGAGCTGGTATCTTGGTCACATCATCTCTGAAACATCACCAAATGGCCTGCTGATATTAAGGAAAATTAATTTATTCTATTCTTGCAGCATTTGCATGCATTTAATTACCAAATTTCCCACATACTGTGAAACTATAGAGCAGCATTGGGGATGTGGTCTAATTGAATGGCACAGATAAATATGTAAGGCCTGAATTTAGAAACCAAAGTAGCTCAGGGACACAGCATAAAAAGGGAAAAAAAAATGAAGGCATTTGTGCACAATTACACAACCCACAACTGGAGGCAGCGACTCAGCGGATTGGSCATTAAAGGGAAAAAAGGAAACCAAACCCAACAAACCAACAGCATTTCCTGAATCTGGTTCACAGCTGCACATGGCAGCAGCTTCCCCATGGTTTGGCATTTCTGAATAACTTACAGGGCTTTTTTCTGTTTAATACAACACTCAACAGTGACCTGAGGGTTTCAYTCCTTGGGATGTTCTCCCCTCTCCTGACTTCGTTTTCCCAAGAAATGATCCCACATTAAGGTAATGAACAGAATAATCTGAATGGCTCAACCTCTTGTCCAAGACTTTCCACAGCWGGGCTGCTCTGCCTGGCAAAGCTAAAAACCTTGTAGATGTTATTTTCCACCCAGGAATGGTCCTGCTGGGATATCAGAAATTGATAYGGATATAGGCCAGGATTTATTTCAGCTCTTCCCACATCAGGTTCTTCAACCTCCAACAAGAGAAACGTTCTGAAAATTGTGACCCAGACCCGGTGTCTGGTGAGTTAGGGAAGAGGGTGAGTGGATTATCCATGGAAATCTGCTCTGGGAACACCATCAGGCTGTGCTGCTGCCATGGAGAAATTCAGAAATTCATCCTGGGAACTTGGATTGGGGTGCACACAACTGCCCCAGGCCCAGATTTTATATCACACACACATTGTTCAAATGCCAAAGATTTTCCACCAGGAACCGCTGCACTGAGGTGCCCAGTTGCTAAAGACTTAATTATTTTTTTCTAAATGTTCCCAGCAGTCCATTTACTGGTACATTATGAAATATTCCAATAAATTATTCAAGCTGATCATCAAAATAAATTAAAAAACACTTTTGAGGCAATTTCCTTGCTTTAATACATTTCCTCCTTTATTAATTACCAAGCTTCAGCCACTCAGGGTGTGTCTGAGAGAGAGAGAGAGACCTTCTGTGTGAATTTTTATATAACCCACACGGACACACACGGCTCAGAAAACACCGTGGAGATGAACACCTCCCTTAAATTCTGCTGTGGGAGAGCCTAAAAGGCTTCAGCAAACCCTAAATAATCACACATGGGGAAATCCTTCAGTCTCCACTCCCCACTTGTATGAATCCTGTGCCCAGAACCAATGTGATCAATGAAAAGGGTCAGGAGTGTGACCAGCAGCAGCAAAGGAGGAGCCTTTCCTTTTAGGAAATCTCTCATGGCAAATTTGATGCTATAAAGTGGAAGGAAAAAGGAAATATTTCCACTCCCAAGCAGYATTTATTGCTTGGTGCTGGGTGTTTCCTCACCCTTGGGGAAGTTCCCKGGTGCTTCAAGGGCACATTTGGGACAAGGCAGGGAAGTGCTCACGGTCCTGAAATGGCCATGGAAGAGCTGAACTTGGACAGACACACCTCTRAAGGGAAAAAATGAACAGAAATGTACAGGGAAGAGAGAAGAAGCAACCAACAGCAACAGAAAAATGTCAGAACCATAGAATGGGTGAATRRYTTGGGTTGGAAGGGACCTTAAAGCTCATCCTRTTCCACCTTYCACYRTCCCAGGGTGYTCCAAGCCCTGTYCWGCCYGGCCTTGGACACGTGACCACACAGAAAACACRTTATTATTTAACAAAACTTTAATAAAGACYGATTCCTGCAGGGTCCTCACTCCCTCCCAGWGGCTGTGTGGCTTCAGAACATCCCTCAGTAAATTACAAGAACCAGAACTAGTTAATCTCAGTTAATTAATTAATCCCCACCTCCCTATGCTGTCGTTACTCAAGGCCGATCCGTGTTTATCTCCAAACTCACCAAGAACTTGGGAGATTCACAATCTAAATAACCTGAAGTGTTTCAACTTCCCCCGTTTAAATCCAAACTTCTGAACAAAGAACTGCTCAAAGCAGCTTTTGTGCAGGAGTTCAGCCCCACGAACCCCAAATTTAATTCCTTGTTCAGTTCATTCAGCCCACCCATGACCCATCAAACAGGAGTCAGGGAATGGTTATTTCACACCACAATTTGAGGAGAATTAATTTCTTGTTGTGGAGCACTCGGATGGTTTGAGTAYAAAAGGGACAAATATGGAAGAGGGGAGAATAAACAACCCCCTTCTGGTGCAAAACACAGTTATTGGAATTTCTGCCACGTGCAGAAGGTTTCCTCATGGAGGGACAGTGTTTTCTGCCCTCCCAATCACCCCTCGAGTGTCTGATCATACAAACATCTCCCTCTGCTAATGCCAGTCATTCCTGGTTGTTCTTACCATCACCAGCCTGCACCTGATTTCACTCCAAACACAATAAAATGTTCATCTCCCACTGGAATCACCACCAGAATGGCCACATTTGTCATTTAACCTCGTGTTCCCAGAGCATCTTCCCACCTGGGTGACAGAGATCTCAYCCTGAGGGAGCTCTGGAGAAAAGGAGGCTCAGAGGAGACCTYTTCCCTCCCCACAGCTCCCTGSTGCCTCCTCCAGCAAKGAAGGRTTCATTTCCATAACTTYAGGACCACCTGCACAGTTATTGYTGTAACTTTAACACCACTGCCTGGACACTGTTATACAGCATCCAACAAACTTTCCTCCCTGTATCAACTCGCAGAATAATTCATTATAAACTCCTCACACTTTCCTGCTGGGGCAGAAGTGTGAGAAGGATGGAATGGGACTTTAAGAGTTTGAGTGGCAAGACCTTCGAATTTTGAAATGGTTCTGTTCTGAAAGGAGCAATGTCCCAGCTTTGCTGCAGTCCAGGGCCCATTGGCCGCTCCTTATCTTTAAAAATCTCCCTTTTCTGGAGTGCTCTGTTAGCAGCAAACAGTCACAGGGCAAGGCCAAGGGAAGGCAGAAGTTGTTCGAACTTCAGAACAGCATTTCAAAGAGAATCCCAGAACCCCTGAGGTTGGAAAGGCCCTCCAAGTTCATGGAGCCCAASCTGTGCCTGATCCTCCCTTGTCACCCAGCCCAGAGCACCGAGTGTCACCTCCTGTCATCTCCTGGACACCCCAGGGACAGGGACTGCAGCAGTCTCTGGACAGCCCCTTCCAATGCCTGACCACTCTTTCTGTGATGAAATCCCTCCTGAAGAGGGGAGAGTTTTGCCAAAGCCAGAAGTGAAGTGCTAAAAGCCAGGCTGGAAGCTGAGCTAATGTCAGGGAGTTTTGTAATCCAYTCCTGCAGCAGGAAGCCACTTGTTCCCTGTCTGTATTCTCCAGCTCTGCACAGAAATGGGATAATGAGGCACAAAGGGGACAGTGCAAACATTCAGTTACTCCTGAACCCCACCAGACTCCAGCAATGGTCCCACAGTGACCAGTTCTCCACACCACGATCACCAACGTGAGCCATCACACRTTTCCTCTCGGTGGTTCCTGAAATCATTCCCCCTGTGCTTGTTCCCAACTCTCTCTTGTTCCGTAGTTTTACTGCTGCTGCTCTAAGCCAGCCCRTGCTCTGAACCCAACCAGAAATGCCCGATCTCAGTGTCTGTGGATGTCAATGGAGTCGCAGCCACTTCGGGGAAGGCGATCAATAGTGAAAGGGCACCATGTGACAGAGGAGTGCTGAGCCCATGGAGCCAGCACCACTCAGCCATTGAAAAACAGCAACTCTCCATCGAGATAAAAACCCTGATCGGGTCATTTTAATGAAAAACACACTCGGGCAGCTCCACCACCAAGCACAAACATGGCAACAAACAGGAAGAACACGATACCGTGATTTATGTTTTGAAACTACTTCATTTCTACTCAACACTGACTTGGTTTGTGCTTTATTTAACAGAATGAAGACACGGCCATGCTCCATTTCCTGCAGCATGTGATTGCTCACCCTCCTGCCCATCAGAAACCTCTTCCCACCAAGCAGCCACAGGACCATACTTGTTCCACTGAGCAGTACAGTATCTATACCACATTTMCATCTGAGCCATACATACCAGCTTATATAACTGGTTAGATTATCTGTGATGGGCCCAGGTCCTCCATCCTGGGTGAACAACACTGCAGAAGCACCAAAGTGCGTTAAACACACAAAGGATGGAAAACACGAGCACTGGAGTTCTGGGAGGCCTTAGGATGGACCCATCAGGGAAAGGTCCTAGCGGAGTGCAGGGCCTTGTTACTCAAAAATGCACCAATTCCCCAAGCTCAGGGTTATTTAGAGACTCCAAACAGCTTCACCGAGTTTATGGCACCTGTCCTGAAGAATGGTGAGACTGGGAAGGCAGCAATGGGTCCAAGGGACAGTGATGGGCACGGGGCCTCTGGCTGTGGCCACCGGCTCCTCCAGCCTGGCCCAGACCTTCTGCCCCGGGGCAGCCACCAAGGAACCGACCCCAGAGCTTCCCAGAACCTCCAGCACCGCTACAGGAAAACAGGACCATTTCCAGGCCCCAGCCCTCCAAACCAGGACTGCTCAGGAAAACCACCACGATCACGCTTTCCCGGCTTTCCGCCTCTAAAGGCACCGGCGGGAGGGAGACACGGACCCCCCGCCCCCCGGTTGGTCACAATTAAAGCTTGCTGGTGTGAAAAGAGGACGTCCCGGTCACGGCTGCCGGCTCCCGGTGCGGGTGGAATGCTGCAGTGTGCCAGGACCGGATTATTACACGTTCACACACGGCACGGACACAAAACGGAGCCGCGAACCCGCCCCACCTGCGCGGCCCCCGGAGGGGCTCCCGACCCTGCGACCGCTGCGACACGGCACGGAGGGGACAAGAGCCATCCTCCCACACCTGGGATCACCCTCCAAAACCCAGCTCAGCGCCCGAGGCTCCGCATGCAGGGCTGGCCCTTGCACACACTCCCCTGCCCAGACTTTCCGACTTCACCCCGGCTCATCCGCAGCCGCTGCCGTGGAGCATCTCCCGGTGTCCCCACCCCCACATCAGCTGGGCATCAGTTTGCACCAGAACGCAGGGGGAGGGGAGGAAGACACACAGATTTTTAATAGAAAAACCTCGTGAATGTGCAATTCCCTCCCAGCAGGAAGGGAAAAAATAATATAAACCAAATCTGCCCTCACCATCCCCCCAAAATCTGTGGCGGAAGGGAAGAGGGAAGGAAGAACCACAACCACGATGCTGACCCAACATCTGGGTCAGCTGGAACACCAAGGCCGCCCCAAGCATTCTTCMYCCCCCCAAAAAAAAAACCCCAAAGCCTGTCCTCCAAGTTCGCCCCCTCCCCGGGCAGGGGAGGCTCTGGATGCCAAGCAGTGGAGCAGGGGGTGGTGGAGGGATGGAGCAGCGCTGCAGCGAGGGCCGAGGGGGAAGGGACACCGAGGAGAAACTCGGGTTCTCCCTTCCTACAATGCAGACAAAGAGCACGGCCCCAAATTTGGGGCGTGGGAGGAGGGTCCCGCAGGCCCCCCAGGTTGTGGGGTGGAGGGGAGACGGAGGGAGGGATGCAGSGAGGGAGGGAGGAATGRAGGGATGCAGGAATGGATGGAGAGATGAAGGGATGCAGGAATGGATGGAGGCATGAAGGGATGCAGGAATGGATGGAGAGATGAAGGGATGCAGGAATGGATGGMTAGATGGAGGGATGGGGCCCAAAAGGGGCTCCAGGCCGAGGGTGGATGCAGAGGGAAGCTGCCCCTTCCCAGCCCCAGCCCGCTGGAGGGGACGCGGATCCGAGCCCGGCACCGACCCCCCAGCTCCCCGCAGGGCCGGGGGTCTCGGGCTGCAGCGGACGGACCCTGCCGGCCTGGGCAGCGGCTGCCGGAGCCCCCCGGCTCCGAACGGGGCGCGAAGGCGGTGCTGAGGGGGCACAGAACCGAACCCCCGATCCCCTTCCCCGGGCGCGGCGTGACCGAGCATCCTCCGGGCCGGGCGGCTGAGCAGGGGCAAGGCTCCGGGACCCCCCTCAGGGGCGGAATCGGGGCCGGAGATCGCCGGGTCCCCTCTCCACACCGCTCCCCAAACCGGCCCCGCTGTCCCCGGGGCTCCCCGGGCCGCGCTCTGCGGCAGAGCCCCTGAGGGGGGCGGGGGGCTGTGGAGGGGTACGGGCTGCACGGGGTAGGATGGATCTAACGGAGCGCTAAGCGAGGGGATCTGCGGGTGGAGCCCGCGGGGGTCTCGGGGGCTGCGACTCACCGTGTCGGGCGGGCTCAGCGCGGCCCCGGCGCGGCGCTGCCGGACTGCGGCGCGGGGGGAGCTGCGGGAGGGACTGCGGGTGTCGCCATCTTGGTGCGCTCCCGGCGCTCCCCCCCGCCCGGCCCGGCCCCCGCCCGCCCCCAGCGCGCCGCAGGGGGGCGCTCGAGGGACACGGCGGGAGGGGCGGGGGAGCGGGGAACCCCCGGGTGAGAGTCCCCTCGCCCCTGTCCATCGTCACCGTCACCATCATCATCATCATCAGCGCCGTGTCCATCATCATCACCATCATCACCATCATCCTTGTGTCCATCATCATCATCCCCCTGTCCATC